GTGTGTGTGTGTGTGTGTGTGTCCGTCTTCCGGGGGCTTGATTTTCACCCATATCATTAAACCATGAGAAGTGCATGTCTGTCTGTTTTGAGCATCATTTGGATCTTCTCAGTTTTGTGTGGATTTTTGCCTTTGAGGTTCCTTCATTTCTGGCTTCCATCAGTAGAGTGAGCAGGACTTCCTGCCAGTTTGGTTTATTCACTTACCTTTCCTGGGCCGCTTATTCAGTCCCATCGAACTCATCACTTTACTCCTCTGTTCCCTCACTGCTCTGGCCGTCCAACGCCTCCATACCTCAATCTGCCCTCCATTCATCTTCCCTGCCCCCGTCCATCCACTCCCAGCATCCCCCAGCGTGGGGCTTCCCCTACACCAACCATCTGTGATTTTGGCCCTTCACTGTCATCCATGTCTGATCTCCGGCTTCGACAGCTGGAGGACTCCACCTTTCACCCATCGGATAATCAGCCCTTCTGTGTGGCTGAGTTAGGATGGGCTCTGTCTCAAGCTGCCTGATTTCTGACTGCTGAGTAATCCACTGTGTGCTTTTTCCTCATTGAACATTTTTAAAAAGTGCATTTTAAAGTGTTTTAAGTTGTTTTTTTCCCCTTTAACTTTTAGAGAGCCAGAATTATCTGATGTAGATGTATCGATTCATCAGAGATCGTTTTATAATCCTGTAGAAGTTGGATCTACATAGAGAGGTTCATTTGGGCTTCATCCCCAGTAGTTGGGCTTTTGATTAATACCTGTTTGTATTAACATTCTATACAGAACTCAATTTTACATGTATATTTTATAAGGATGCTTTTATAAGAACGCACTTTAAAGTTTTTCACTGCTTTATTTTGAGCTCTTGGGAGTTTTATTTACACAAAAATGTTCTGAGTGTCAGATATCTTGGTTCTGCCTCCTCTAGTTGCTTGGACCCACCTCTACAATCTGATTGGTTATCTCTCTGAACCAATAATTTTCCTTCTGCCCTCAGAACATTTTTGTGTAAGTAAAACTCCCAAAAGCTTACGCTGAAGTTTGTTGTAAGATTGACAGTAAAGTGAACCAATCACAGTCCTGCTTTCTCCATGGGAGGTGACATCACCTTCCACTCTGTATGTCGGACTCCAAGGGGGAGTCTGTCTGAACTTGGCCCTTAAGCACAAGGCTTATTCTGGCATCCTGTGTCTCTCGTAGTTCCTCTTCCTGTCAGAGGTGCTTCAGTGGAGGGCCCAGACCACCCCGGACCATGTGCTCTACACCCTGCTCAACTCACGGGTAAAAGCTCGCTCTTTCATGACAGCCTGGTTTCATATCCCAGACCCGGATCCTCAGAGGAACTTAGTGAGACCTTCTTTCTTTGTTTCCTAATGAACTCCATCCTTTTTAAGAGCTGGAACCATTTTGTGTGCTGCTGTTCTAAATGCAGACAATACCACATTTCATTCAGCGGTCCCTGCAGTCCAGAGAGTTAACTGCTAATTAAGGAAATGGGCTGAATGTAAGACCTGAAAGGCTGCAGACTTGGAATTTGAATGGATTTCTCTTACCTGTTTAGGGTGCGATAGCCAGCTCACTGACCTGCCTCCAGCTGCATAAGCGGGCAGAGAAGATCGCCGCCCTGCTGGCCGAGCGAGGCCACCTGCAGGATGGGGATCACGTGGCACTGGTTTATCCCCCGGGTAAGCTCTCCCAGTCCTCTGTCTTATCTGATGCCTCTACTGTATGTGATACCATGTAAGTTGTGTGTGTTTATTCATGAGACAAGCGCGTTCATTAACATGTGGGGCATGTGACGGCTGTATTCCCTCTTTTCTGGGATATCACTGACTGACAGGCAGGTTCACATGTTCTGCTGCTTAGATGGTGTCCAAATTTCCATACCCCTGTACCTAAGGCGCTCTGTGATGCGTGAGAAACGCCGGCGGTTTACCTGGGAGACTCTGGGCTTTCATCTGGCACCTGACAAGCCTTTTGATATGCGAGCGGTATTCTCTCCGAGTCTCCGCGCTCTGCCGTGTCTGCATCCCGCATCCGTGTCTTCGCAGGGATCGACCTGATCGCCGCCTTCTACGGCTGCCTGTACTGCGGCTGCGTGCCCATAACGGTCCGGCCGCCTCACCCGCAGAACATTGCCACCACCCTGCCCACCGTCAAGATGATTGTGGAGGTAGGGTGGAGAAGAGTGGGGTGGGGGGGGATGGCTTTTCAGTTAAACGGGGGGTAGTAACGCACGCGTGTCTGTGATTGTGTTCACGCACGCACATGCGCCTGCGCAGGTGAGTCGCTCCGCCTGCGTGATGACGTCGCAGGCCATCTGCAAGCTGCTGAGATCCAAGGAGGCGACGGCGGCCGTGGATGTGAGGACGTGGCCGCCCGTCTTGGACACGGGTGAGACCGCAGCCCTCAGGACTCGCCGCTGCCCCCTTCGGTTTAGACAGACACACTACCGGCCTCTTCAAACATGCATAGAGTCACACGCATCATTTCACATTAATCCATTCAGGCAGTGGGAAAATTCTGACTGAAGACGTACCACGATGGTACAATAGCAGTGGACCCTGTCACTCTCCTAAGATGCTGTTCCTTAAGTGCTACGCCACCTACTGGGCCTCACCTCTTAGCTGCACTCAGAGTGTCACTTCTATAGCAGCTATTAACGGGAAATGTTTTTGCCTTCCTCCCCAGATGATTTGCCAAAGAAGAAGCCCCCACACTTACACAAGCCCTCGAACCCGGACACCCTGGCCTACCTGGACTTCAGCGTGTCCACCACCGGCATGCTTGCTGGAGTAAAGGTAGCTGACGCACAACTCCCATCATCCGTTCGCATGTTGACACGCTTCTCACCAATAGGGGGCGCTGAGGAGGACTGGCCTCCCATGTTCACCTCCCCTCCTGGGTGGATCTCCAGGATTTATGGTCTGTCTGTAACATTTATCTGTGGATTATCAATTTACATGGAAGCTTGTCTTCCGCTGTAGTTCTGCTGCTCAGATTAAGCGATTCAGGGCTCTTCTGATTGGCTGGATTCAGGGCTCTTCTTATTGGCTGCTGGCATCTCCGCGGCTCAGTCGTCAGGAGGATCTCCTACCTCTTTAAAGTGCAGCCGTTTTCCGAGGTTCAGTTAAAGGGGCTTAAAATGTGCTGAAGAACTAGTTCCATGGGACATGGAACAGATCCGCGGGGACCGGAGAATGGAGCTGGGCGATTTTATTGCATCCCTGGGGCAACAGGAGCGGGAGCTGCCCGACTGTGCAGAAATAGCTGTTCTGCTCTAGCAAAAACAAACTGGGAGCCCTTGTGAGCCAGACCGTCACTTCCAGGCTCTCTCACTCCCTCTCACTGTCTCTCACTCTCTCTCACTTACTCTCTCACTCTCTCTCTCTCACTCCCTCTCACTCTCGCTCACTCTCTCACTCCCTCTCACTCTCTCTCACACTCACTCTCCCTCTCTCTCACTCTCTCTCGCTCACTCTCACTCTCCCTCTCTCTCACTCCCTCTCACTTTACTTTCCTGGTGCGGGTATTTGGGTACGTTGGGTGGGTCTTGTGGGGGGAGGGTGGTCCCTGGTGGAGGATGATTACATTTGGATTGTCTCTCTTGGGTGGGCTCTACCCCCTCGCCATCATTAGCCACTCCCCTGTTCCTGGCTCCCTACCTGGAAACGTCCATGCTCTCCCTACGCCCCAGAAACAAGGCCGATGGATGTGCCGCAGTTCTGTGTAGACCACGCCCAGAGCTTAGGGCGTGCCTAGCTGCCTCGTGTCACCTTAGCCTGAACGAGACTGGTCGTGGTCAGTCGTACTGCCAGGCCACGAGCCGTGCTCTCGATTAGCATAACAAACGCGGACCGCGTCACACCGCAAATACCGGACTTCCTCGGCGGACGAAGCCCCTAATTGATTCAGAAGTGGTGTTCAGAATATAAATATCAGCGCAAAGAAGAGGGGGAGAGCAGGACACGAATTAAGAAGTGCGCGTTAGGTGTTAGAGGCCATTGTTGCCAGTTAACTGGCGTGTTCGTTCTGATTAGCCGTTAGCTGCGGTTCGCTCTCTTTAGCCTTTGGCGCTAATAGCGTGTATCCCATCCAAAAACGGTTTCTTTCAAAGCCTGTTCTTCGGCCGGCGATTTCTAACAGTGGCCAGGCTCTGGATTCGCTGGCAGAATGCTGGGGGCGTGTCCTCCCTGAAAGCACATAGTGCATCTGGCTGCATTTCAGCGCCGTGCCTGTGCTTTGAATGCCGTTCGGCCCCCGAGGCATTGGCTCCAGACCCGGACACCCTACCAGAAGGTCTCCCTCCATTGCCGTTCTGTATCGTGCCCATTTTAAGCTGCGGAATTATATCTCTTCGCCTGAACCAGACTGTCTACCTTCATCTGATAACATGAGCTGATACCCATCATTCCCAGCGTTTGATTGGTGTACCACTGGCCTGTTAGATAAGAGGTTATCAGAAATATACTCAAGTGTGGCCTTCCTTTAAAATGGCAGAGTCCTCTCTGCCTGCGTCCCGCACCTAGATGCTGTAGCCCTTACATTTACATTTACATATGTAGCAGACTCTCTACTCCAAAGCAATGTGCAAGTGAGGCAAATGGCACATGTATGACAAACCTATGCGCTGCCGGGGAATTAACTAAGGACAAGTGCAACCACACAACATCTTTCAGTAAGTCTCTTTAATGTGCTGAAGCTACGGATATAGATTTCGATATGGAGAGACATGTCACTACCAGTATTGTAGGAGTACCATGTGTGTTTGGGGGGGGGGAGGGGGAAGGTTCAAGGTTGATTTGTATGGTTGCCAACTTTGGTCACATGGCTAGTGTGAGATTTTCAAGTCAGCACAAGTCTGCACACACATTTACTGTTTATGTAACAGTTTTTTTTTACCTTGTAAACAATCTGTAGGGTTTGCAAACTACCCCAACGCTTTTAATGTAGCTAATTTTAGGTTTATAACCGAATAATATAGATTTGTCATAAAGATTTCTTGTATGAGCATGAGAGTCTGAAAGCGTGAGTGTCGTGCCAGATGTGGGAGAGTTGGCAACCTACAAATGTTGAAACCAAAGCTATATCCTTTCCTGAAGCTCTGCATTGAGAACATTCAGGGAACATGCAAAGGTGTCAGGCTAGTAGGGGAAGTCTTCTCAGTCTCTGTCCTCCACCTAGATGTTGTTGTGTTTAAAGGCGTCCTCTTCGTCTCTGTCCTCTACGTAGATCCTGTCACGCTTTAAAGCATCCTCTTGGTCTCTGTCCTCCACCTGGATGCTGTGGTGCTTAAAAGCTTCCTCTTCGTCTCTGTCCTCTACCTGGATGCCGTTATGTTTAAAAGTATTCTCTTAGTCTCTGTCCTCCACCTGGATGCTGTTGCGCTTAAAAGCATCCTCTTGGTCTCTGTCATCTACCTGGATGCCGTTATATTTAAAAGTATTCTCTTAGTCTCTGTCCTCCACCTGGATGCTGTTGCGCTTAAAAGCATCCTCTTGGTCTCTGTCCTCCACCTAGTTGCTGTCGTGTTTAAAAATGTCCTCTTGGTCTCTGTCCTCCGCCTGGATGCTGTCGTGTTTAAAAGCTTCCTCTCTGTCTCTGTCCTCCACCTGGATGTTGTGGTGCTTAAAAGCATCCTCTTGGTCTCTGTCCTCCGCTTGGATGCTGTCGTGTTTAGAAACATCCTCTTGGTCTCTGTCCTCCGCCTGGATGCTGTCGTGTTTAAAAGCTTCCTCTCTGTCTCTGTCCTCCACCTGGATGTTGTGGTGCTTAAAAGCATCCTCTTGGTCTCTGTCCTCCGCTTGGATGCTGTCGTGTTTAGAAACATCCTCTTGGTCTCTGTCCTCCGCCTGGATGCTGCCATGATTAAAGGCGCCCTCGGTCTCTGTCCTCCACCTAGATGTCTCACACTGCCACCAGTGCCTTCTGCCGTTCAATCAAGCTTCAATGTGAGCTGTACCCCTCCCGAGAGGTGGCCATCTGCCTGGACCCCTACTGTGGCCTGGGCTTTGTCCTCTGGTGCTTGTGCAGGTGAGAATCCCCCCTTCCATTCCTTTTTAAACCTGTGTCCTTCTCCCCCCCCCCCCCCCACCCTCGTTTTATCAGATAGAGAACAGATGGAGCAGTGAACAGCCCACCGGCAGATCACGTGCACTTTATGGCGTCGATCTTGCACACTGCCCCGGACGATCAGCGATTCGTATAAACAGCCAAGACTCAGTGACTATGTAGCCTTACTGAATACCAGCGGGACTCAAAAACTGCACCCCACCCAAGATTGGCTGAGATTCGTAAAAGCCCCCCCAGGCCCAGTTACTCCTCAGACAGCCTCCATACCTCCAGTACAGGTCCAGAAATAAGAGGCTGACTTTCCTGGGGGTTACATTTTTACTCCTCGCTTACTGACAATGGATGATTAAAATGAGGAGAACGTCTCTCTACACGGTGCACAGCCGTGACCGACCGTCCCTCAGCTCGGCTCTGAAGGTCCTCCCCTAACATCTGTGCTAACGGGGACATCAGCCATGGGTAGCGCCCACGAGTGGCGCCGCTGCAGTGAAACGGTCCCACTGCTTTAAAGCCTCTGCGCTCCTGTGATTGGTTGTCTCTCCCCACGCCGCCCCTCCCCACGCCGCCCCTCCCCCCACCTCCAGGGGGCTGCGGATGTTATTAGAGCAAACTCACTAAAAGTTTTATATGGAAACATCTCAGCAGGTGCAGGAACTCTGAAAGTGCTGCCCCCCCCCCCCTGGGTCCCGGGGGCAGTGATGTGCGTTACACCCCCCTCCTCTCTCCTGTGCAGCGTCTACTCCGGGCATCAGTCCATCCTGATCCCCCCCTCTGAGCTGGAGGTGAACCCCGCACTGTGGCTGATGGCGGTGAGCCAATACCGCGTGAGGGACACGTTCTGCTCCTACTCTGTCATGGAGCTGTGCACCAAGGGACTGGGCCTCCAGACAGAGCTGCTCAAGGTACGATGTCCATCTCTCCTCTGAGCATGACTGGGGGCCGGCCCATGCATGATTAGGGGGTGTCTCGGCACTAACAAGCCCGTGCACCACCTTGACATGTATGGCTGGAATCCACCCCCCCCTCCTTAGGTCCTCCCGTTGGTTCGTTCCGAAAAACACACAGTGTGACTGGCTGGTATGTTAGAAAGCTTCCTCGCGCCGGTCTGAGAGCCTCGGAGGTGATTCGGAAACCCGGGGCACGTTCACCGCCGAGCGCAGCCAGCCCGCCGGGGATCCGCGGCACCAAAGGGCCCTTGCTTGGCATTTTGACGCCGTCAGATTAACTTCTAACCAAAATTTTCGGTCTCTGTGTTAAAAATTGTCGCTCGAGCTTCATTGATATTTTTGAAACATTTTAGGTCCATTTTTTAAAAAAATACTTGAAATCCACATGCATTTTCTTGTTTATCAGCTATGAAAAAGCTTTTATTAATGCCTGAGTGACTATTACTTATAGAGTGATGTTTGATTTAATGCTGATGCATTTGGGGATTCAAATTCAAAGCGCTGTTAAAAACAGAATCACTGTTAAGTGATATGCTTTTGTGAACTATGTGAGAATGATTGGATCCAAGAATTTCAGACACTCCTCAGCTCCTTGGTATGGCCTCCATCTGCATGAACTGCATAGCTGGACATTGCCTGTCCCCGTGGACTGTACCATTTAAACTGCAATCCCCACCCCCCCTAGACTCGAGGATTGGACCTGTCCCGCGTGAGGACCTGTGTGGTGGTAGCTGAGGAGAGGCCTAGGATAGCCCTGACCCAGTCCTTCTCCAAGCTCTTCAAAGACCTGGGCCTCCACCCACGTGCCGTCAGCACCTCCTTCGGCTGCAGGGTCAACCTGGCCATCTGCCTGCAGGTGGGTCCCAAGCCCCGCCCCCCATCCACAAGCTCCTCCCTGCACATACAAGCCCCACCCCCCTCCCCACCCACTGTCTCTCCATCTGTCTGTTGGAATGTTCTGAGTGCATTGTGAGTAAGAAAGACCCCATGGGGATCGAATGGCATTCTGCCCAGTTGCAGCAATGAGGTGCCAGTGCTGCCCTCTTCAGGTGGAAAAATGTCATTGTCAAGTCTTTCCTTTGTTTTATGTTTTCCTCACCGTATTTTTTTTACTGCAGTAATATCATGGTTTTTTTCCATATTTCTGTGGAAATTGTCAGACAGCAGTGCTTAATAAAAGAGATTTACCGGTTATGGTGTAATTTATGAGTGTAACAAAGACAATCAGGTTTGGCTTTCTTCAGTACTTTATTCTGGCTATAGGTTAACTTCTCTCGCTCACTGTCCTCACATTTTCATTTGGATAATTGTAAGATTGTTATAATTATAGACTGATTTATGGCTCCTGTATTTGTAGAGTAACTTGCGCACCCTGTCGTGGTTAAGATAAGGAAGAGACAAAGTTAACGCCTGAAAAAATGTTTCTTGAAACTGCTGGAGGTTCACAATTGCAGAAATGAGCATCCAGAAACTCCCATCTGCCACTTGTTATGACTTGTTTGAAAAAAGTGCACTTAATGCCCTGGGGCAGCAATCATTAAAATCCATGTAGTTGTTTCTCACGCCAAAGTGACAAGTGAAACGATCCTGGTTTCTGCATTGCCACCACGGGGGGTCCTGGTCCCCTAATGACCATGACTGGTAGTTAACCTAGACTGAGGGGATCCCGAGAGGGCAATAGGTCAACAGAATGACTTTGGTGGGGGGGGGGAGCAGACGGGGTCATTCCCCGTATTCCTAAAAACTCCATGGGAGGGACCCCCCTTCTCATCCTAAACACCATTTCTATAATATGATTATTACCCACATAGCACACTGGTGAAGAACGGCAAACAAATTAATAGGATATTTTTTAAGATTGTGTGCTTGCTTAAAAAGCCTCACCGTTCATTAAGAAATGTGTGTTATGAAATACGAGAATATAAATCATATGTTTAGTAGACTGTAAATGCCAATAATCTCTAGATGAATATCAAAAACGCTCCTGTAGTTCACAGTATTAGTTTCATAACCGAATGTGATTTAAAAGTGTATAATTTAATATGTCTGCCAGATGCATAATGATGTAGATGTAATTTCATTATTTTCACACTGTAAACACCTGTTACTCCAGTAAAAGGGTCGTAGTTGAGTTGTTGAGCAGTTTAACACACTAGAGTAGCTGGATGCCGGCATGTGTTTGGTCTGGCTACTCCAGATGAACTGGAGAGCTCTTTTTGTTTCACATTTCTATATTTGACATTTTTCGTTTTTCTTTTATTTTTATCTTTTCCCCTGGCTTTGTTGCATAATCTCCACCCACATCTCTCATACTTGGTTTTGTCTTCATCCCCCCCCCCAACCCCCCCCCCCCCCCCCCCCTTCTTCCCTCCTCCTCATCCTCAACATCCTCCCCCGCTGCTTTAGCCTCACAGGCTGGGGACGTTTGCCGAGCAGGTAGGGACTTCTACCTTCCTTTATTATGCAAATAATACGCAGCAGGTTCAAAAGCCAGGGCATGATGGGATTGAGGGTAGCGAGCTTCGGCGGGGGGGGGTGGGGGCTTAAGGATGCAGGCTGTACTCCTGGGGGTGGGTAGCAGGTGGGGCTGCACTGGTGACCGAAGGGGTTAAGGCTCTGAGCGCAGCAGGGGCGCCGCCATCCTACCTTCCGTAATCGGTAATCGATAAAAATGTCTGCGCTGCTGAAACCTGGCGCAAGGATAAAATTGCGTACCAAAGCTGCCAATATTCCCCCAATCTCACAGGACTCAAAGAGGCAACACTTTAGCTATTTGTATTTTCATGAAGTGAAAATGCATTAAAATAAGATGGGTGTGTATATCCATTATATCTGTATGTGGTTCACGCTTGAATCGGTTGCTGCTGCTCTCTCTGCACGGAGTGGTTTTGCCTACGCTGAGGATAATGGGATCCCAGCGCCGCTGAATGACAGCCTTTGCTGCGGCCAGCAGGTCTGCCAGACTGGGAATAGTTCTGCTGCCTCCAGGGGTTATTTTTAGATGGCGAGCTTGAAACGTGGAGGTGGAGAGCATGTGACCGCCTGAGGGCCAATCGTCTCGCACGGAGCTGCTGGATGTTAGCACGGGGATTTGAGGTAGTGGCGGGCAGTAGGATAACCGGTCGACCATTAAAATGTGTTCGGTGACTGCTGTTAATTTGGCCTAGTTTCCATGAGAACCAACTCCATTACGGTTGCTGTTATACCAACCATGACGGCACATTGGTCTAATGCTGTTCTCCTTCAATGATTGTCTTGTTCTAGTTACATATAGTGCATTTTTTTAATGCGGTAACTAGACCCCGGTTCTCCAGCAGGTCCATTAACCCTGTGCTGGTGTGGGGTGGCTCATCTAGTTATTTTTACCCCGTTTCCCGAGGACCTGGACCGGCCTACTCGCCTAACGCTGGGCTAGCCTCTCGGCCTGCTAACACCAGGCTTAGTTTGTCTGTTTATATTAATCCACTTAATTTTATTGTTTATTTTTTGGTTTTTCATTTCGGTTGACTTTTAAGGGACAACTATGTGAATATACCGTGTTACTGTTTGTGCTGCCCCTCCGGCGTGCCCAGAAGTGTTCTGGTGTTGACTTTGGCACTGGGGAAACTGGCAGTAGTGATGAGAGGTGTTGGGGGGTTGGGGCAGGGTGAATTTATTCAAACCTTAAAGGGAAAGGATGCTGTTTGGTTGGAGTGGGGCATAAGGAAGTGTGACTGTAGGTCCCGTTGACCTGAAACTAGACATTGCCCCGTTCATTAATGTCAACTTTCCAGTCCACCTTAACTTTCATCAGCTGCTTGTGTTTTTTATTTGTTTATTTGTTTTGTTCTCATATTCTGGACCTAAAGTAGCTCCTGAACGTTAAGGTCGCTCAGCCATCCACCCTTCGCTCCTGTGTCCGTTCTTGGGCTGCTCCCCACTCCGCTCCCCGAGCACACAGGATTGGGCATCTCGTGCCCCGTTCTGCGCCTGGGCTGTGCGGGTGTGGCTTCCCCGAGCACTAGCTGGCTGATGCTCATGGACGATGCCTGGTTGTGCTGGAGACAGACGTGGTCTGCTGACTGTGGGCTCCTCTCTTGCAGGGCACTTCAGGACCGGATCCCACCACTGTGTATGTGGACATGAGAGCCTTGCGACACGACCGGTGAGTGTCCAGACGCTCCTACTGTAACAGTTTACCATTCAGAATTAACTTTGGTTTTTGCCAGAATAGTCATGGGAAATTAGATTTTTACTCCCTTGGTTTACCATTATGGTTTTACTAATACCTCTATCCTCACTGGTCAGTTTTACTAAACCCCCTATATTCACGGTTACTAAACTTTCCATCTTCACACACCATGCAGTTTTGTAAGCCATGGATGATCCTGTTTCATTTTTTAAGCTGGACTTTCCTCTGCCTTTGTTCTCTGGGAGACTGCTGGCGATGACATCATTTACCAATAAGATTGGGCCGCAGGCTGCCATAAATGTAGCTTTTATGGTCCCGGATGTACGATCGAAAGAGGGTCGTTGGGAGGGATTCAGGCTTGGTGTTCTCTTGCCTGGGCCACAGTCACACGCTTTGGACCTTTAGGGTTGACGGTGTTATTGAGAACTCTCGATTAATCACCTCCCTGGGTGGTGATAATGAGTGCAAGAAAAAACACGGTGAACGTAATGTAAGAGGGGCTTAGATTCAGACACACCATGCTGAAGCATATGCCTAGACACCAGTGATGTCATAAACGTGTGCTGTGCGTTGGAGATGAGGAATGCCAAAGGGAGATAGCGTCCGTGAGAGTTTCAGACACGCACTGTAGGGTCGCCGACTTTGGTCAGCTGACCGGCGTGAGATTTTCAGTTCGAGACAAGTCTGCGCACACATTTAAATGCATGTAAGAATTTATCACCTTGTAAATTGTCTGTAGGGTCTGCAAAGTACTCGAACAGTTATGATGTAGCTAAATTTAGATTTATAACGGAATAATACAGATTTGCCGTAAGATTTCTTGCGTAAGCATGATAGTCAGAAAGCCTGAGAGTTGGCAACCCTGACCGTGGGGGGGGGGTCATTCCTCTAACTGGGTAGCGACCTTCTAATGGTTCTGCTAGGAGAACTAGGATGTTCTGGAATTCTTTCTGGATCCATGAAATGTCCTGAGTTGAGCTCTGCTTTATAGTCTTTGTGCTGGGTGTGTCTTCCAAGATAAACTCCATCACAATTGTGGTCCAATATTGTGTTATTAATTGTTATGAGCCATATTTGAGTGTTAAGATGATGTACCTTTGACGAATGGCAGCCACAGCTATTGCAGCTGACGCGTTCTACAAAAGCAGGATCTGTTTTCACAGATCTACACTGCTTTCTGTTTTAAAAGTTTTTAAACAAAAGCAATTTCCATCCACACTGAAACGAGCGAAAACATATATGATGTAGCTATTAACCTACATTGGGCATGCGAATTGACACAGTCACCAGTAAGTTGGTTTCTTTTTGCACAAATATGTAGCATTCACGCTGTGTAACACGCTGTTTACCTGGTAGCGATAGCATTATGGACAGCAGCTCTTCCATATTTGTCATGTTGGAATACTATTTACTTCTGTGTAAGGCGACCAGGTGACCAATCAGGCAGTGAGTGGTTGTAATAGTGGGATCAAATCACGTAATGAGTGGGGGACCAGTTAGGGCGCTTTTAGAGTTTGCGTTTTTTTTAAGTCTTCGTTTTCACTCATCCACACTGCAAGGCAACACAAAAATGAAGTTTTCAGAAGTCTACAGCTCTGAATACATGTTTAAAAGTCAATGTTTTCAGTAGATGAAAACTCTGGGGTAGTGTGGATGAAAGGCGAAAACAGAGACTAATGTCTTTATTTTTAAATGGAAAAAGTAACAGAGTGGACATGGGCTCAGATACCAACCCCAGCTGCCATGGTTGACCAATGCTTTGAAAACTATCATCAGTGCAAATGCCACTTGTCATTCATCCCTTTCTCTGCTGCACTAATCATTTAGTCAAATCACAGTTAGTCAAATCACACATGTTTGGCTCTTAAACACACAGAACATTGAAACCTCTGCAATGACATTTCCCTGGATTGTCACTCACAATATGACAGGTGACCTTATACGAACAGACTTGCCAAGCTCAAACTGAGAGATTCTCAGTATGATTGAAGTGCTCGTTACTGCATGACTCAATAGACGCTCCTCCACCAGAGACATGAGGAAGAGTGCTGCAGCATCACCTCCTAGATCCTATGTCCCTTTTTTCCCTCAGGGTCCGTCTTGTGGAGAGGGGGTCGCCACACAGTTTGCCACTCATGGAGTCTGGGAAGGTGAGCCGCACGTCGCTGTTTAATACACGTCGGAGATTCTGGATTGCCGGACTGCTCAGAACTTCGGCTCACATTTCTTGCTGTGTAGCGGTAGAATGACGGCGTCTGAAAACTTTCTAGATTTTGCCCGGAGTTCGGATCATCATCGCCAACCCAGAGACCAAGGGCCCACTGGGTGACTCTCACCTGGGGGAGGTCAGTGTCACACCATTAATGCCACATTGTGCCCCAGAGTCCGTCACAGCCGTTACCTGGTGGCTCTCTGTCCTTCGGGGATGTCTTTGCATTAAGACAAAATGTCCCAAAGCGAGAAAAGGAAACTATTATGGGAGAAACTAACCTAATATGATTATACCGATGCTGTATGTGTTTCGTAATAAGCAGAGGGGGACAGATCATGCATTAAGTGCCTTGAAAGATGTAAAGAGAAGCTTAGACCTCATGACTGAATACAGATGCACTGATTTTATCTTGTCTATGTGCCCTTTTGTTGATTTTTAATCTGTGGTACTTTTAATCTGTACTTGGTATCCCAAGTGTGAAATACAAGGAGCCGGCGGAGTGGAACAATGTCTCGCCCTTATCTGTCCTCTGCAGATCTGGGTTCACAGCAGCCACAACGCCAGTGGTTATTTCACGGTATACGGCGACGAGTCTCTGCAGTCGGACCACTTCAGCTCGCGGCTGAGCTTCGGCGACACGCAGACGGTGTGGGCGCGCACCGGCTACCTGGGCTTCCTGAGGAGGACCGAGCTCACAGATGCCAGTGGTGGTGAGGACACTTGAGAAACCAGTATGAAAGGCCTTACCTGTTCATATGTATGGAGCTGGTAACTTGCCTCTGGTGCGTTTTCTTTAAAAGAAGCACTTAATGAGTGTCTAATGCCACAGGATTTCATGCTTCATGCCTCCTAATAAATCACACAGTCCGGAATGCCGGTTTGCCTGTCAGACAGCATTCTTTGTCCCCAAATGAGTGATGCCAGTAGACTTATCAGACAGCATTATTTCTTGTCCCGCAGAGAGGCACGATGCCCTCTATGTGGTTGGTGCCCTGGATGAAGCCATGGAGCTCCGAGGGATGAGGTACCACCCGATTGACATAGAGACATCAGTCATCAGGACCCACAAGAGCATCATGGAATGGTGAGTGGATTTTTACGGACCGGCATCCTGTGCTTCTATCGTTTCCCTGTGATCTTTGGCCATCACACGATTGAGAAACATCTTCTGCACTATGTGTGCAGGTGCAATACAGAGTGGAGTACTTTTTTCCTGCGTTTAATCCCTACATTTACTGTCCTTCTCAGCAAGGCCGGGTTCCTCAATCACTGACCCAGATCATGCTTTCTGCTCAGATGGGATTTGCTTCCCCAATGAGCGTTTCATGTGCTGGACCGTGACTTTGGCTGAAGACCCAATGTTATTCACTCTTGTCCCTACTTTCCCTTTCCTCAGTGCGGTGTTCACCTGGACCAACCTTCTGGTGGTGGTGGTGGAGCTGGACGGCTCAGAGCAGGAGGCGTTGGACCTGGTGCCGCTGGTGACCAACTCGGTGCTGGAGGACCACTACCTGATCGTTGGGGTGGTGGTGGTGGTGGATGTAGGTGTTATCCCCATCAACTCGCGCGGTGAGAAGCAGCGCATGCATCTGCGTGACGGATTCCTGGCCGACCAGCTGGACCCCATCTACGTGGCCTACAACATGTAGGCCCACCCACATGCACCCGGCACCCCCACCCTGCGGCGGGAAAATCCCACATGCGTCGCATCTCCTGCGCCATTGACAACCGCCTTGTAAATGTTGTGGACTGCAGAAACCTCGGAGCGAGAGCCCGGCAGAGAGGGATCTGAGAGGCCTTGAGGTTTTTGAAAAGCACTCCTGATGGGCAAGAGCGATATAGGTGGGCGACGGGGTGGGGGGCGTGTGGCGGTGAGCTCAGCTGACAGGAGGAATATCGTCCAATTGGCTGAGGAGAAAGAGCAGCACTTCACACATCTTGCTTAATTGGATAGTGCTTTTGAAGTAGGTGTGGCTCTATATTTTCACATTATGTATGCTGAAGTTGCTCATTTTTAATATGCCCTCTAAGAGGTAAGGGTATTTTTTAAGATATTTACATACTGTGGCAAATTGTATTTTGAGTTGTCAACTGTTTTTAAGATATAAAGCATAACAAATTTAGATATGTTTCGATACAGGATGTCTGTTTAGTCCATAAAACTTGACTAAACTACGAAGAGGTACTTTTTTATGTTGTGTTTTCAACCACGCGCTTATGGTTTGCTGTCTAGATTCGTTTTGTAACGGTGTAACAACTTTACAGGGATCCCAAGTGGGTTCGCGGTTCTGCTTCCGCAATGACAGCCGACATCGGATTGGCGTCATTGTGTGGAAAGGAAGAACATGACGTCATATCATGTAATTATGTACAAAACTTTTAATTTATTTTTTTTAGAAGTATATAAGAGAAGACATTTAAGAATGTCTGTCTCTTTAAATATTTGATAATATAAAGCAAAGCCTTGTATCTTGAGTGAATAGTATCACATCAAGTATATAAAATATATATTAAAACATATATATATATATAAACATAGAAACACCTAGATCTGACGAATGAAAACGCCTGAAATGCAGTACTTCTCATTTGCATGGTGTCTGTTGTTGTAGATAAATCTGTCGTTGTTTCATTGTTCGAGTGACACACGGTTTTGAGAACGTACAAGATGTCCTCAGAGGGCGTGGAACAGACACCAAAATGGGTAACATGGACGACACTTTAAGCCCAAATGTATTTGGACAGAAATTGCACCTTTCCTTTAACAGTGACAGTTTTTTTTTTTTTTTTTAAACTGCCGTGTTTATGGCCAATTTGAACAGTGTCGAGTGTAAATATTGGAGTTTAGTTTGGTACCTTCATTCACCTGCAGAGAAGCCTTGATCGGGGTTTTATGAATGTTCAGCAGTCTTCTGGAAACAGACACTGATTATAAACTGCCCAAAACGCACGAGAAGCTTATGCCATTCTCACCTTAAAGATCATAAGGTCACACCGCCATTATGTTTAAACAACTTTATTTTCCTCCATCCAGCAAGAACAAAAATTTTACATCTGGGAGATGTAACAAACAGTGACGCATGATCGCCTGAAAATGCAGCTAGGGTCACTCTTTCTCCCATCTTATATCATTCAAATCAGTTTGTCTGCAAGAGTACAATAGTGCAAAACTGGTGTTACATTGAATGCAAGAGATAAGTGCAATCGTCACAATTTCTGTCATAAAATATATGCATCACAGTTAGTGGCTAACGAAGGTGAATCACTTGAATCGAAACCAGATGCTTATAGGATTACAATCAAAAGTTTTGGTAACAGTCACTGGTTAGCGAGGTTTATCGTAATGGACTCAGCGTCATTGTTTTTGGAATGATGTTCATATCGCTGTCAAGAAGATGATAGACGTGTGATTGTTTATTCGTAAGTTTCGGTTAAAGCGGGAAATGTTCAGTCTGTGTTTCCCTTTTTGTAGACTGGGATTTTCTTTGCAGGAATCACAACTATGCTACAATGATTTTTAAAAATGGTCTTAGCCTCCTTAGAAGTGATGAAGGTAATATAAAGGAATAAAACAAAATGTTTTCATATTGAAGAGAAATTCCACTTTTTTTTTTTTTTTTTAAAGCATATTTTCCTGGAAATTTCAACCTCATTTGTGAGCTGGTCTGCATGTAAATATCGTTGGTCACAGAAAACATTTATTTTATATGGTTCAGGTGTGTTTGGAAATTCTTGTTTGTGTATTAAGTATTAAGACACTTCAGAAAAATTTGGCTAACGGGTCTTGCCTGCTCTCTCACATTCAGATGCAATAAGGTGCGTCCATCACGTGTCCCTAGCATTTGTGCTGTCAAGGTAACAGACAAAATCTCTCACATCAGCACCACAAAACATCCCCATATCACACCTCTTCAAAGACTTCTCATCCATCCACAAGGGGGCACCTCTATTACACTGTGCTATAACTTTATTGCATCGCCACTCAATAAGTCACAGATGTCATCATTATGTATAAACGTTCTGATGTTTGCGTGTGGCAGGGGTGAGTCTCACATTCTGTAATGGGTTTCATTGTACTCTATTGTCATACCAAACAGTACAGGGACTGACTGCTGGTTATTTACTTTTAAGGTGTCTCTTCGTTGACATATCGTCGCTCGTGATGTTACGTTTCTGTACCATTGTCAGCTGGGTGATTGTCCCTTTTTTAATATATGAAAAAGTGGAAGGATCGTTTTTGTCCGTAGGGGACTTAGCAATAAAGGACTGTCCTGTATTAGATTCTGTACTGTAGATTTAAAAACAAAAACATGTATACGAATGTGAAACAAAAAAACATCCTCTATTGTGTTGTGATATAGTGCTCCTATTGGAGTTTTAAAAAATAAAGGAAATTGAATTATTACATAAAGAGACAATGCACAAGTTCAAAAGTAAATAAAAGTACAAAAAAAGAAGGATATACGGAAATTATCCTATTCATATGCACTAACTGATCATGAAAATTAATTCCCTTGTGGTGCTTATTATGTAGGATAATCCCTGCTTGATACAACCTGAGGCAAAGTCAGCTGATCGTCCAGCAACATTACGTCATCAGAGCTGAGCCGCTTCTTCATGGTCATTTTACGTAATCACTACACTCCCCCCCCATCTCTGCTAAAACAAACAAACTTTGTTATATTAAAGCCACCAGGATGCTTTGTACATCTGTGATGACGCCTAATTTTATATTCAAATGAACAAAATAAAAGCTTTTATTTTTGTTGCTGTTAACATCTACGCGCTTTTGGCTCTGTGTCAAAGTGGGAATACTTTTGATGACTTCACAGACATGCATAAAACAGACGTGTAAAATTTGCCGTATTTTTAGAAATTATTTTCTTAAAGATTTGTTTTTTATTTTACTGTATTTAATGAAGTTTTTTTTTTATTGCTGTTGTTGCCGTCGCAGGTTCATATTCAGTCTCACAGACCAAAACAACAATGTAAGAAAGTACATTTGAACACAGGGTGACTGGTTGAAGATACATTTATTTTTTTCCATGTTACCACATAGAATATTCGTATGTCGCCAGCTAAAGCATCTAACAAAATAGCCAAAAGCGTAGGAAATGGAAATCACAATGTTTACGATGAACTGTATGTGTGCTCGGCTGAAGACAACTTCCCGACTAAGTCATGAATAAAAATCACAACTTTCTCACAAGAAACGACCCACGTTCTTCCATCCGTTAAAACGATGAAATCGATTAACTTTATCTCTTTAAAAAAAAAAAATTAAAAAAAATTCATATTGCATCATTTCTGTAAGTGCAACTATATCGTTGGACTTGGAAAAAAGAATATGGAAAAATACACAAAGCTTACTTTCATGCAGATGCCAGAAATATCTTACAAACTGGAATGACACCACATATTTCCACTTAAGAAAAATGCCACAGACTTTCCATTTGTTAGGATGGACGAATATAAAATAACGAGTTGGTCAAGAAACTTGGCTGCTCAGTCTGACATCCAGAACAATCTGCAACATTCTGGAAAGCGGTCTAAGGACAAACGACCCATATTCTTCCCAATGCTGATATCTGTGTAAGAGGAAATGCTAAATTTATATATAGAATATACCATACAGTCAAACAGGAGCAAATGATATTTACATGTAGTGCAACATTGGCATGAAAACAAGGTCTGGCTCTTGCAAATGTTAGTTAAAAACTACATGGCACGCTTCACCAACAACTTTTTTTGGGACTGCAAGATATCAAATCAGACAAGAAACGTCTGTATAACTGTCCGTTCCCTTGCGTGCATTTAAAAAGTACAAAAAAGTGTTCAATGTCGTCTGCCACTGCCTCTCCCATCCTTTAAAAATCTGTTTAATAATCTTAATATTATACATATGTAAAAAAGTTTAACCGTAAGTAAAGCATTACCCTATAATGTTAAAATATAAGTGTGGTAAACACACAGCACGTAATTGCTCTTGTTTGGGTATATTTTATATTGGTCCATCCGTACAGAACCAGAAATTTAGAAAGCGACTTTTTTTTTTTTTTTTTTTGTAATTGAATTTTGAAACATTGAATCCACATGCACTTGGTTCCAGGTAGTAAAGACACTGCTAGCAGAACAGCCTCTGAACACAAAGTACAGCAGAAGCAGTCAGGAGATGTAACTAGTCTCATATTGTACCAGACTAATGGTAGACACATCACATTTAACAATGTCACTGATGCCAATCAAAAGAAAGAAATAAAGCAGGAAATATCTATCCCGTAGGTATTGTGTAAAAACGGGCACAACATCGTAGAATTTGGCTTTTTGTTTTCATTTCAAAAACACTTGCTCATGTTGGACGACAAACAGCGTGTGCAAACCATGACATTTCTAAAAACCTTTAAGGTCCAAACAGGTCTACGCCCCGGATTTCTTTTTTAGGCTCAAAGAGAAAATCAAAAATTGACTCATAAAAATTACAGCGTACTTAAAGGACAACACAAAGTATATGAATTAATCATCAAAGGAAGATTTTTGTCTTTTTTTTTTTTTTTTTTTTTTTGTCCGCCGGATGTAACGTCGGACCTTAGACCCTGTTCCCAACGACGACTCTTAGTCTGACGGGGCTGAAATCCCCCCCACTGGCTCCCATCCAAACACACACCAGTATAGTTACCTCATGACCTGCGTTAGTCTTGAAAGCATTTTGATTTTTAATCAGCATTTTACACATTTTTATATATATATTTTCTTTTTTTTTTTTTTATCAAAGTGAGTATTTTGCCTTTCCATCATCGTTATACTTAAGAGCAACATCGAGATAATTTTTTTGTTTGTTTGACGTTGTTACCATTTACAGTAAGAAACGTGATTTAAAAAATTCAGGTAATAAAATGTATTTAGTTAATGCTCGACTTTAGCTAAACACTTAAATAACACATTCTCCAACACAGGTAGAATCAGCACTTCAGTAAAAAAAAAAAAATAATAATAATAAAAATAAATCCATCCGAGTCTTTCCCCTCATGTGATCGGATCATGATTTTTGAAATAAAAAATAATAAAAAAAAAAAACCTTTTGGACAAATTAAATAAACAGATAGGGGCAGACAGAGAGATTTTCCAGCTCTGTGCGTAGTTCCCAGTCCACAGAGTGTTAAATCGCTGGTGGAGGCAAGAAGTGGTAGGTGGGAGAAGTGGAAAAAGGACCCAATGACCTGGAGGCCAGAGGGCTTTTGCTACACAGTGATTGGCTGGCAGTGGCAGCATGGGCGGGGCCTTCACCTCTTCCGGCGGCAGGTACGCTTGTGGTCGGCGTGCCAGTGCTCCTGCTGGCACTTGATGGAGCAGTAGGAGGTGTTCCAGCAGCAGTGGTACATGGCCTCCTCCTCGCAGTTGTAGCACTGCCAGACATAGGGACACATGGTTACCACGGCAACATTCCCGTGAATCACCTGACTCCGTCAGCCAATGGCAGAATATGCTGCCAGACCATTGTGAGGTGAAGGTTGAACTGTTGAGTAAGTCTCAAGTCTCAAGCTGAGATCATCTCAGGCAAAGCTTTACAAACGTGGAGCAAATAGAGCTCATGCTTTATGACTTTAGAAGTAGGCTCGCACAGTAATAACACCACTTGTATCCAACTTTCCACTCATCAGTTAGAAAACCCTTCCTCCCTAAAATTTCCTATGAAAAGCTTTGAGCTGTTGTGACCTCATCATCAAATGGGTGTGGCCTGCAGCCGTCACTCACCCACTGCTTCTTCTTGGTTTGGGAGATGATGGTCTTGTGCTGGGCCACCATCTTCTTCAGCTCCTCCACCAGCTCCTCCTTGCAGCGCTCCTTCACCTGCTTGCACTTGCGCTCCATCTCGGCCTGAACGCTGCTCACAGCCTTGTTGACCGCCTGCCTCTTCTCCTCCTCCAGCTCGGAACGCAGCTGAAGGGAGGCCAATGGACAGGAGCCCAGCGTTCAGGCCAATGGCATTCTCCCGTGCCATCCACAACCCCCCCCACACACACACACACCGCACGCTCACCTTCTCCAGCGCCTCCCGTACCACCCTTTCGGTCTCGCGCTTGTTGTCCACTTTCATCATCTCCTTGACGTCGTTGAAGATCTTGGTGTACTTCTCGTGGCAGCGGTTTTGGCAGCTGCTGTCGGTGGTCGTCTGGGTGCTACGGTGTAGCGTGCGGGGCGACGCCGTGCTGGCCTTGCGTGTCTGGGTAGACACTGAGAACTTCTCCGGCTGATGGGGCGAGGTGGGAATCTCCTGGCTGGAACTGACAGCCTCCACCTCTGGTTCCGGCTCCTGGGGGGAGCCATCCCAGTTAAAAAGTTTAAGAAAAAAAATTAATCACATATTTATCAAAAGTAGCTACTCAGTACTCAGTCCCACCTACCTCCTCCTTGGTCTCCACCGTCTGCCCCCGCCGTGCCTTCTTGGGTTTGGGTTCTTGGCTTAACTTGAGCTGCAATTGCACCAAAGACAGCACAGTCAGAGCCCCACAGTGTAAACATAATGCAGCCTGACCCTCCCATGGAATTAGAGATTTAATTAGTCAGAGAAGGCATGAGTGTAGGATATCACTTTGTCGGTAATGTTAATTTTCTCTTAAGCGATTATACCCCTCTAAAAGCAGATTAATGTCACAGTTGAGCGTTACAAAAGTATATCACAGAATCAGAAAACCAAATACAAACGCTCCTCTACTTACGAACTTTCAGCTTACGAACTTTCAGACATACGAACCAAGAGGACTGTAAGTCCAAATTGTGTTCGTTAGGCTCCCGTTTCCTGTCCGCAACATCAATTTCTTTTTTCTGCGTGCCAATTCCGCCTAGTACGGGGGTCACCAACTCCGGTCCCGGAGGGCTACTATCCAGTAAGTTTTCTATCCTACCTGGCTTCTGATGAGCCACACTAGTTCTTAGGTAAATACCAGGAGCAGGTGTGGCTCATCAGAAGCCAGGTAGGATAGAAGACTTACTGGATAGTAGCCCTCCAGGACCGGAGTTGGTGACCCCTGGCCTAGTACGACTTCTGGTCGCTACTCCCGCCGCACAGCAGCGTAGCGTGCGTACTCCCAGCATCCTAGTTCTTTGTACTTCCATATATACCTTTAAAATTATGTTGAATAATGACTTACGAACATTTCAAGTTACGAACGGCCATTTGGAACGTATCTCATTCGTAAGTAGAGGAGTGTCTGTATACAATAAAATAATCTTTTAACATGTCTTACTGTTTGCCACTAGGTGGCACCAGTGTTTGACACAAAAACACCAAAGACTAAAAACCTTGCACTTGCAATCTCTGCTTGGTTCTTAAAGAGGGAAACATGATAAATCTCCTTTGAATTCAGTCTCCATACAGAGTGAGTGTTCATTAGCACAAGAGAGAGAGACCTGCTCGTTACTGGTGGAGGATATGCTGGACTCCGGTTCCTCTTCTGTCCGGTCCTCTGCCTTGGTCTTCTCCCGGTCCCTGTCCCTCTCCCTCCAGAGGCGGCCTTCACGCAAGAAACGCTGGTACAGGGCTAGCTCCTCACACGCCTTCTTCCAGCCAGTGCTGCGTTTCACCTGCAGCTGCTGTATGCTTACTGTGATGTCTTGGATGTTATCCGAGGGGATCCAGGCCCTGGTCGATAGATTTGACCAATGGAATTACTGTTTATTAAAATGTATCTAATTTCTGTCCAATGGGATGTGTTCTTATTAGAAGGACAATGTCAAGAGCCCCTCCTGGCTTTCTGTCTTACCTCTGGTGCTGGTGTCCGAAGAAGCGCACATCCACCTGGTTGTCCTCTCTCTGCAGGATCTTGGCAGGCCAGTAACCAAAGCCCTTCATCTTGGCCCACACCACCTCATGGTTGGGCACCTGAATTGGCAAAATTACACTCACACTTCGGCAACAAGGTGACCTCACTACCTGCCGACGTTTGGCAGCACTCAAACTGAAATTTGAGCTCGCTATTTGGCAAGACTCCCACCGAACCATAACCTTACTCTTGTTGACGTTTGGCAGTACTCTTGCCAAAAAGTGGTTCACTAACTGCTGACATTTGGCAACACTCTAACCGAAAGGTAAACCCACCACCTGCTGACATCTGAAGACATTCACCACCAAAAAGTGATTCTGTTACTCGCTGAGATCTGGCAACATTCTTACAGAAACTTGACCTCACTAGCCACTGAGATCTGGAAGCATTCTTACAGAAACTTGACCTCACTTCTTCCTGAGACCTGGTGACATTCTTTCAGAAACCAAAACCTGACCTCACTAATTGCTGAGATCTGGTGACATTCTTACAGATAAATGACATCACTTACCGCTGAGACACGGTGACATTCTTACAGAAATCTGACCTCACTACTTGCTGAGACATAGTGACATTCTTACAGAAATCTGACCTCACTACTCACTGAGACATGGTGACATTCTTACAGATACCTGACCTTATTACTCGCTGAGACATGGTGACATTCTTAGAGAAATCTGACCTCACTACTTGCTGAGACATAGTGACATTCTTACAGAAATCTGACCTCACTACTCACTGAGACATGGTGACATTCTTACAGATACCTGACCTTATTACTCGCTGAGAC